ACCTGTTGCAACACGTTGCAACTCCAAAATTTTATAAGCCACAACTAGTTGCAACTAGGTGATGCTTTATTTGTCACTACGTTGCAACAGTTTGCCGCGCCATCTTTAAATGTAAGCATCAGGGTTTCTCTCTTCTCTGTTCTATTAAACAATAACAAAAAATTAATTCCTTATCTGTCTTTTATTGCTGAATTTCAGGTCCGAACAACTACTGACCTAAGAAAAGTACTGGAGACAACTTCCTATCGGGACAAAAATGAGCCATTTTATTGAGAAAACACTTTGATCCTGAATGGGTCGAGCTTGCAATGAAGTATTTGTAAGTTTTTCTTATGCTCATCCCTTGATATTGCTAGAAATATATACTTATAAATAGCCTAATACACTATGAACCCCGGATAAAACCACTCCAAATGAAACAACTAGAAGGCTGGTTTGATGCAATATTTGGTCAGTGGTTATCGATTGTGCTTTTAGTAATGTTCGAGGACTACAAACCGTTAGGTATATAATTTCATAATTATTATCACAACTTAAGTTTTAAGCTTCTAATGGCATTCTTGATATTTACAGGCTAGATTCATCAAGTATTTCTATTGCAAAAAGAAAGAATCGGAAGCGAGCTCGGAAGGAAAGGACAAAGATAGGACGTAAACTTGATGGGATTTTCCGAACTTATGATGCTAATGTAGAGTATGGGGCGATAGAAGTGAAGAGTTCATTTGTTCAGATTAATTCTACAGAACAGCTCAAAGAAGGACTCAAACTTGGCAAATCAATGCACGATATGTTGGTTTGTTTAACTCATTTGGTAAAATCAAACGAAGAAAAGGTCAGACAATTGCAGGTTGTCGGACTCCAGCATTCAGGCAGGTGAAATTTGCTTCGTGTGGGAAGTTGTTGGCACAGTTTAATAACTGAGAAATTTGATTTGCAGAACTTAAATTGCAAGTAAATCGATTGTCAGCTCCAAAGGGATACGTATCAGTTCTCAAAAGAGAAGAATTTAATGAAATTCCGGTAAAAAAAGATAAAGGATTTAATTATGCTCTTATCAGGTGTTTGAGGGTAAAGGTATGTACTGTTCTTCATTTGTTTTTACACACACACAGAGAGTGGGAGATCAATAACATATACCATCTTACTGTTTAATGCCAGAAAATGGCTATGAGTTGCATGTAGGTTGTAAACGAGGAGTCGGCAAATTCAACAGAAGAGGAATCCATACAAGTGATAGTTAACAGTGACACAACGACACCACCACCTACTATTTCTTTTCCGTGGTCATTTGACACATAAACACCATCAATAACGTGATGTGCGTTAGAAGAAAATTTCTCGATATCTTCTGATTTGGAAGTCCCCTAACTAACATTTCAATCATTATTTACATATCTACAAAGCACTTTATCAATGAAGTTTATGGTAGTAAACTTTATTAATTTCGATAATAAATACTACAACTGCAACTACTTTTTAATTTTTTTTTAATTAGGTAATTTAATACGCCACTGTGAACACTTTGTTCACACCTGTTAAAAATTCACATTATTTTCTTTTCAAAAAAAATAATATTAGAAAAAGCCACTGGAAAATAAATCAGTATTAATAAACCCTAAATAAACCATTGAAATTACCTACTACTCCGAAACAGGTTCGGATAGAATCGGATCACTGGATGTTGAGATATCGCGTCCGATGCATGAATTGGTCACTTATCTTGACATTAGTGATTCAATTCAAGCGAAAATACTATATACATGTATACACCATTTGATTCGTCTCGACTAGACGAATTGGATTGGTAACATTTCGCTTGAATCGGATCACCGGAAATCAAGATATTACGTCATAAAGTGACCAATTCATTTTTTTTAACATTCGAATTTGATGAAAATTGGTAAGATTTCGAATTTCCCAATAGCGATAGGATTCGTTATTGGGGTATTTCACGCACTAATTATGCAAGGTATGATAGTAAAAATCAATAGTACAGATTTTTTTGTATTATTTGATATTTATGCACCGATGTAGATCCCGAGTATACACAGCTATATTATTTGGCCAATAGAATTCAAAATTTGTGTGTAATGAAAAAATTCTAATCATCTGATAGCGATAACGATAAGAGTAATTTACATTTATATTTTTTTTGAACGTTATAAATATTATAAAGCTAACGACTTATAAATAATTCTTCAAATAGATTATCAGCCTCCTGCTCTCGTTGCCTATCGGATTGGATTATTGAAGCGGAATCTTGTGGATTGTGAGTTATTCGATTTTTCTTTCGAAGATCTTTTAATTGTTTATCAGTAAACTGAAATTCTGTTATTTCGGTCGTTGAAAGTCGCATTTTAGATTGTTGAGTTTCGGCAGTCATATTAGGGTGGGTTTTCAAATTCCACTTATTAAATAGACCCTCGACTTGCTGCTGGTGAACAATAATATACCAGAATTTATTTTTAATGAAGTCATAGAGCAGTGGGAATTGATGAATTGGAACAGTTGATTCATTAACAAATAAACTGAATTCTTGAAAAAACATTTCATCAGTTAATGCATCCTTAAGATCAAAATCATTAAAATTTTCTTCCTTAACGTCAATTTCAAGATACTTTGCATAGCAAAGTTCTTTTAGACTAGGAACCTTTGACCAAGGTTTTTTAAGTACTACATACCAATAGCTATGTGCAAATTGTTGGGCATTATTTTCACCAAGACGACATAAGCTTAAAGGAAGATGAAGCCAACAATTTAACCATTTTTGATGCAATTCAAGATCTTTTTGTATTTCTAGTTCTAATTTTTTGACTAATAATTCAATTTTTGAATTATCCATAATTTCTGTACTCTGTAGAAACTCACTGCCGAAAAATGAGTAAAGATTTTCCAAGGTACTTTTGAGCTTATATGTCAAATTAACAATAAAATCTGACATTTGATGTGCTCGACGACCAGATGGTAAACATTATAGTGAATTATCTGACTGTATAATAACAGTTGGGGATCGTAATCGACAAGAAATTTAGCAAATGAACAGTAAAATTCTTGGCCAAATTTAACTAGACACTGTATTTCAATGTTCAACTCAAAATCGTTTAACCAATTCTGAAATAATTCCCATTTTTGAACATAGGAACTCGGGACTTTTTTTAGAGCCTTCAGTTTTGGAAGAAACCATGTAACAAATTCAATATGAATTTTACATCTTTCGAAGTATTGTTTCACCACAATTAATTCATATTGCCATCTTGATTTTAGAGAATGTTGATATTTAATCAACTGATAATTAAGACATATTTTATAAAGACTCTGAATAGTCTCACTTCTCATATTAAACAGCGAATCTTTATCACTTTGAGCATATTCATTGTGCAGCATTCATGCTAAATAAAGAAGATTAAATAAATGTCGTATCTTCGAAAATCCAGTACTTGTGGAAAGTTTACCCTGTAAAAAAAAATAAAAGACAAAAATCAGGAAAAAATCCGGTTTTTTAGTTCTGGAAAATCACAGGTTTTGTAA